GCCTTTGTAGTTCCATGAAAAAGTAGTTTTATAATATTTTTAATATAAGCTTGATAATTGAAAACCTGCTCTTTGTTCCATACTTGTCTCATTTTTAGAAATATTTGACTCATTATTTAAAGAAAACATATGAAACATACTTATGAGACTAACTTATTGAGTCAAACTGTAGGTAGCGCAGATTTCTCGTTGAAACCAAAAATGATTTGAAAAAGCTTTTAACCAGTACCTTGAAACAAATTCATTGTGTATGAATAATGATAACTACTAGGTTAAATACTTGTTGAAGTCCAAATTTAATTATGTGATATTTTATCTATAAAATATCATTACTTTTGAAATGTCCTTAGTATATTGAAATATAGCTTCTCAACTGTAGAATGAAGGTAAACTTTTTAGTTTAATTCTTTTCTGTCATAACTCAATTCCTGATTGAAAAAAATTCGTTATTGTTTTGAATAATGGTAATCGTTTAAAAAAAGCGTCTTTATTCGAGAACACATCTAACAAAATTAAGATAATTTTCACGTTCTTTTTCTAGTTTTAATGAATAAAAGGAAATTAAAGATTTAAAAATTGATCAACAATAATTAGTTTGAGTTACTTTTTTTTTATAAAAACTTAACTATTTGAAATAATAAAAATGGTCTTGTTTTATTTTCAGTTATGTTTCGTTGTTTGAGAAAAAGTAAAACCAGTTTGAGGACGTTTTAATTGTCCTTCTGTAGTTGTTCGTTCAAATAATTCTCGAACACAAGATGAATTATTCAATTTTAATGGAACTTTTATATCTAATCTTTCCATTTTAATTTGATTTTTTTTTGTTTGTGTCATCATTTTTTTTACTAATTGACGACGCTGTGCTATAAATGCTAATGCATGTTTATGTTTCATTTGTAATAATGTACGTTGATCAATATTTCCTTTTGATTCACGTTGATCAACAATATCAACTCGATGTGGAACACGTGATAAACGTGGCAAGCGTTCATGAAGAAGTTCACCAACTCGACGAGCAAATAAAGTAATTTCATCACGAGCTTCAGATGGATTTTCAAGAAGATAATCAAGTCGATTCTCATAAAATGCTTCAATAACAGCATCATTGGATTGAATTGGTAATGACGAATTTGGATGAATATCTCTAGAATAATGTTCAATAAAAAAAAAAGAAGAAATCATTCGAATATTGTTAAGTAGTTATTAACAGATTTATGATTTTATTTTAAGAACTATTTAAGAGTTAAACAAAGGTGTTATCGTGAATGATTTTCTTCTCTATGAAATCGATCCGTCAGAACAATGAATTGCTAGAATTTCTCAATCAAATAAATTTCAAAATTACGAAATTAGATTCTTTTAAATCTAAAATAAAACTAATTGATTATGGAACTCCTAAAATTCGAATAAGATTTGTTTAACATACGTCAAGTTTTGTGTTGAAGGTGTTATTGGATCATCAATAAATACAATTTTAATATCACGAGCTGGATCACGTGCAAGAAAATTTTTCTCTAAATCAACAAAAGTAAATGTTCGTGATATTTTTCTCTGATATTCTTGTCTGATTTCTTCATTGTGATCTTGAAGTTTTTTATAATAAGTTTTTAAAAATTCTTCAAATTTATTTTCACGTAATGATTCACGATAATCATGATTAAACTTAAGTCGATCCTGATTATTCTGCAAAAGATTTGCTGATATAAGAGTTTGTTCTAATTGAACAAATTTATATGAACGAGAGTGAGATTTTTTCGTTGAATTCGATGTAGTAACTTGTGAAAAACTCGATCGTGGTCGAATGGATATTGGTGCATCAGTAGTTAAAATCGATAGCGGTAGTATTGGTAATATATTTTCTGGATTTGTATATTCTGTTGTTTCATCTATGTCAGCTTCATCCTCTTCATCAGGTATTGAAAGAAGTTCAGCATCCGGTACAAAAAATCGATAATGATGAGTCTTTATCTTAATATATATATATATATATTAGATATGATTTGAAGATTTGATGATTAATCTTACTTCATCTTGATTGTTTGTTGATAATGTTATCATAGATTCGTTGTTACTATTTTGCTTATTAGTTGTCATTTGTGTATGTGTAGAGTTGTCATGAAAGAGAGGAACAAAGAAAGAAAAGAAATTAATATTTTTTTTTTGTGTTTTTTTATTCTCAAAGAAATCAATGCATCAACAACTACATGGTTTCAATAGAACATAATTAAAAAATACATATGTAAATAAATTCTTCATTCTCTTTCAGTCATTTTTTTTTACAAAAGAAACATTTTTAGTTTATTCAATCTGATGCATTAATTACGATCTTCATTCAATATTTGTAAAATTTGATTATAATAGATATATATTCATATACACCATTAAGTTTTTATTAAATAATGTTGATCTTGTCATATTCATGTATCTTAATTGGCAGAGCACAAGACAAAAGAGTTATTTCGACTTCGTTCCATTTTTATTGCTTTTAGGAAGCATTCTGCTTCGGTTCTAGTGTCGAGATTGTCCACCTCTGGTCGCATTTTATATAAGGAAATCCAACAACAGAAAACAAATATCATATATAAGTCCTGAAAATGACGTATAACATATGATTTCGCATGCTGACATTCTTCGCCATGTATAATTGACAGCTAGATAAAATCGACTTTTTATATCTCTTTCGAATCGTGATCATTTCTTGAACATGATCCATTCTAAGTCCTTTTGTTTTGAGTCAGATTGAGTGTGTTAGATGCGTTGATTCGATCAAAATGTCGTACCTTATTTCTGAACGATAGCGTACTGTTTAATATAGCATATTCTATTTTCTTGCGTATCTTGTTAAAAAAATTATGATGAAGATGTTCATTTGCTCAAATACCAAACGTACTTATCGACTTGTGAAGTTATTTGACATCAACAAGTCTTTGGATAGCAACATGAAAGTTATTTCTTTTTCTGTATATTTTATTCTGATGAATAATTTTGTCTGCATGTAGTTATATGTGAAGCTTCGAGTTAGAGAAACAAGTATCCACTCTCGATTCGAAATTATCACAATATGTATATTAGTAAAGTGGAAAATGCAACATAAGGAGAGAAATCTCCACGTATTACGGTATTTTTATGCTTCGATCACATATGAAGTAAATTTTGCACGATTCATGCTATATATGCGTAAAAAAACAGTTCGAGCATGAGAATAATGGTCAATCCTGTTCTTTATTTTTACTCATCTTCTGACTTGTTCTTATCGTGTTTTCTATGAAAGAAACAGTCAAGTAAGCGCGTTCGATGATAACAATATTACCTAAAAGCAACAAAAAAGTTATTGTTTATATCTGATAATATTATGGCTCAAAATTGTCAGAATAGTTTTATTCAAAATTTTATTATTATATCACTGCGTTATTGATTCGGTTTGGATATTTGATGATGTTAATTTATGTATTGATTAGCTTATTAATGCTTATGATCAACAAGTACTTCTTATTCTATCTGATAGTTTTTTCGAACAACTTCTACTACTTATTCATGATATATGTCAACTTGATTCTATTTATATGTTTTGTGATATTAGACATCGAAAATGGTTAAAAGTTCGAGGTATTTTTAATATTTGATCCATCTGTTGCCAACTACGACATAACATTCGATTGTATGAAAATAATATCATGTCGACTATCACTGTTCCACAAGTTTATATTATGCATCAATACTAAAAGAAATACTGAACAATTTTTTTATCTATTCAATGTTTAATCTAGCTTTAAGAACACAAGATATATATATATAATTTTGAAAATAGGATTTTTTTGTTGTTCGAGATCTTCATCAACAAATCAAACGGATCCATTCTATGACCAATCATTTAAATAAAATAATTGTATATCGTGAACAAAGTATGACACATATCAATTTTGAAAAAATGAAATAAAATCAAGTTGATCTTCTTTCATTCAATAATTTCTTATCAATAAGTACTGAAAAATCAGTTTCGTTAATGTTTGCTAATAGTTTTCGAAGTGATCAAAATTTCTCAGTTTTTATGTAAATAATGAAAAAGCATGAGCTCACAATACTGATCAAGCTGCAATCGATTAATGCATGCAAATCTAGCAACAACTAACAAGAATATGGGTTCTACATATGTTGTAATAGGAAATTATTCGGCTGCATTTATATATTATAAACAAACTCTTTCGCATCATCTATTCACAATGATTTAGCATCAATATATAATAATATAGGCTTTGCTCATGATTCAATGAAAGAATATCAAACTGCACTTTCATTCTATCAGAAAGCACTGGAAATCGAAAGAATAGCTCCGATGTCTGAGCATTCTCAATAAAGTAATACTTATAATAATATTGGTACAGTTTATCAATCAATGAATAATTATACTACAATATTGTGATATTATTTTAAAGCTATTGAAATTCAACAAAAAAAAACTCTTTCAGTGAATCATCCTAAGTGTGTTAGCATTTAATCATGATAGTCTAGCACTCTTCGGAGACTTTTCATAACCTACTAAGGTCAACTGACGGACAAAAAAAATAGCTCAAAATAATGTGGATACCTGAGAATATTCCCTTGTCAGATATTTTAAAAGATTAGAAAACTAAAGAACTACTTGCAAGATATATCGAGAGAATAACATTTCTAATGGTGTTTAACATAAAGATAAGTTTTTATTTTAATTAATATCATCTAATCAATCTATCGGAATTAATATGCAACAAATTTTTTTCTTCTTTTATTTATTATGCCCACGGCTTTTTTTGCGCAGGATTATTCACTTACACCATCTGTTACATTCTTATGCTACACAAAGGAAAGAATAATTTTATTACCCATTAAACTTTTCTTATTATTTCTAAAGCAGATGTTTCATCACATTAACAAAAAGTGCAAACTTTTTTTCGGGTTATTGAATAAAAATACTATAAAATCAGAATCCTCTTGACTATTTACTTTAATATTAAAAATCAATCATGGCTAAGTTTTTATCTCTCATTTTAGTAAGTAAACATTCTTGTTTAAACTATATTATTCTAAAACTATTAGTTACATTGTTTAGATTTATACGGCTATTTGCATTTCATTAGCTCATCGAAATCATAGAGAAGCATGGCTTTACGGTTTTATACGGCCATTCATTACACCAACAAGTATTTGTGCGAATAGCACAACACAAGCAGGATATCTTGCTCAAACTATTGCTCTTATTAATAATTTTCAATTAAATTCAACATATAATTCTGTTTTACAAATCGAATCATCAAATTTTGTTGCATATCTAACAAATCCTACTAATCAAGCATTATTGTATAGTAATTGCACAGCTTTTGTTATTGGTGTGAAGGCGGCAAAATCAGCAGATCAGCAAGCTGCACAAACAAGACAACAAATTGCTCAAGATATTTATCAAAAATTTCGACAAGTTCCACATAATGTAACTGGTAGTAACGGACCCAATGACTTGGACAGTAACGGATCAGATGACTCGGACAGTCATGAACATCATTAATATCATTGATTTTAATTTTCATTCTCTTTGTTTTGATGAGAATAAATAAAATAAAACTGAGCAAAAAAAATTGTTTTTATTTTCAATGAATCTTTTTATCAATTAGAAAAGTATTTTATTTTCTGTTACCAAAAAATTCCAAGAGTACCACGGTCCACATAATAATATTGATGTACACCACCACTCACTGGACTCCAAGTTTTTAAATCAAAACTTCCAGAACCCGACTCATTACCAACAATTTTATATCCAGTGATAGCTTGTCGATTACGATACCAGTCAAGACGTGAACCACTAACACATGTTTCTGGTGTGTTAGCAGGCCCATTTTGACTCAAGAAAAAAGCAGTACCAGAGCCGAAAACTTTACTTGTACCATCGTATTCTATACATAAAGCTGTCGATTCATCAAGACCAATACCACGACCTACAACTCCGTAATCTTTATTCATACGTGCTAGAAATGTAATAAGACGACCACGTCGATCAGGATTGTTAAAATGAGTATCAGTGATAACATTTGATAGATAAGGCTGGGAAAGAAAATCATTGTAACCTAAAGTAAGATATCTATTGTAAGGATTGGCAAGAGCTTCACTGGAAGTCACTGTTCCACTAAGTGCTGAAAAATATGTTCCACCAAGAATAGCACATCCTGCTGATGTACCTCCAATCGGAACTTGTTTGATATTTCGTAAATAGTTAAGAGCATCTTGTACTTTAGTACCTTTCCAATAGTTAACATAATTAGCTTGATCACCACCAGCAATAAATACTGCTTCAGCTCCACGAATTGTTGCTTCAACTTGAGGATCGTTAGCTAAAGTGCGTGAATTGATTAATAGAGTTTCGACTGAATTGACAGAGCCTAAATCATATATGTAACTATTGTATGCATCAGTACCAGTTGCTCTTATTACTACAAAATCACCACCACCCGATTTCTTGATCATCCATTGCATAGCTGCATCAACATCAGGACCACCACCAACGAGAACAGTACCTCCAGATGTTGGCCGTGTTACATCAGCACTATCACCGACAAGACCTAATGAAGTAGAACTTTTTGTTTCACAAACGAACAATAGTGCACTAAGCAAAACGCTATATACAATAAATTTGATGCAATCCATGGAAAGATATTTCTAAAAATGGAGCAAAATGAGAAAAAAAGAAAGCTTAGTAAAAGCAAAAATATACGATTGATAATATGTCTGATAATGTTTTTATTGATTTAGAAATCAATGAAATTGAAGATGTACTATATTTAATTGCTATTCATTAAGAAAGGCGTGGGATTACAGAACCAATATGCATTTAATGTATATATAGATTAGGACCGAAATAAAATAAATATTATCATGTTTCATTCTGTATCTTTTATCATAGATCCGCGAATCGTGGTGCTACAGCATCTTCTCGCAGAGAAGTGTTCTCTCTTTTAAGAATGCTACTACATCTACAAAAAAAAACCTAAGTGATTAGTATTAGGTTCGAGGCACATGTTTATCACTTAGCATGCGCCCAAACTCATTAAGATTGTAATTTATTCTCAATATCTAGCTGAAGTGTGGCGCATCATCCAACTTTTCTATTATCATCTGATAATGAAATCTTCATATTTCAGGTTTACATTTGCGAAAAACTTTTACTGTCAAGTATTTTGAAACTTTCGAGAATTATTTTTATCTAGACAAAAATGACTTGTATTTTGTAATGCATGCCTATGTACGATTCCACTTGATATAGTTTGACTGCTCGAAAAATTTTCGAAAGTTCTATCTTTCAAAATACTTTTCACACCTACGGTGTAAAATGCCATTATAAAGATTTGGTTCGTAATATTATTTATTAAGATTACTTTTATTTTAAAATTTCGATCCTATGCTTGGTTTCTTCTCTTTATTTTAAATATTAAACTAATAACATGAAAATAAAGAAAACATTCTTATTTACTATACAATAAAATTGTTCATTATCAAACAAATGTAATACTGAAGTCAAGCCAAAATAACCAAAAAAAAATAAAATAAAATTTAATATTTAACTTATATTCTCAATGACATGTGAGAGAAAAGTATACCTTTTAAAATCATATTACTAGACAATTATAAAATAGCTATGATTTAAATGGTCAGTTTTTAAAATAATTAGGTTCTTCGGAAGAGATGAACATGATGGGCAGAAGTTCAAACAAATCAAGTTACAGAATATATTGACACACGCACTAGACAAATACTAGTCATTTAATGTATCTTTTGATTAACGGTATTTTATGTGTGAAAATTATTTAATAGTTGTCGTAGAGTTTTGAATTTTTATTCAACAAATGAAATTATTAAAGTAGTTAATCTAAGTGAGATGTTTGGTTGACATTAGTGATAACATACCAGACGTTTGATGTAAGTTTGTTCATAGATATATTCAAATGCTTGAAATACTATATAGAGGGTCATTTTCCAACCTTCCTACTTTTTTTTTTTTTTTTTTTTTTTTTATTTTGCTAGGGTATGTAACACTCGGAAGTGCTTACATAGAATTTAAAGACAAAGTATTTTGCGACATCAGAATCAAATATAAGAATTATAAGCTGAACGTTTTAACATTCGTCATTGTCTTAATATCGAAGCTTTTGACGAATTGATAATGCTAATAGAGGGATGGAGAATGAAAAGAAGAAAAGGAAAATAAAAGAAGAGAGAGGAAAAAAGAAATCGAAAAAAAACAAAAAAAGAAAACATATATAATAAAGAGGGAGAAAGAGAGAAAGAGGAAAAAAAAAAAGAATAAAAGGAACTGCTCTACGTAAAGAGAGATACGATAAAATAAAAAGAAAAAAGGCAAAAGGAGTACGACATTGGCACTAATTTGTTTCAACGAAACTCAGCCATTTCAAAAGGAACGACTCGTGTCGATCAATTAATAATCGCACACGTCGCAAACGAAAAAATTGGCCAAGGTGATCATTTTTTCTTTTGTAGAACTCGCTCCATACAAATATATCATTATAAAAAGGTGAAGATTCAAGATCTGTTGAATGCATTGTTTTCAATCTCCTTTGGACGTACTTTTTAACATAGAATTCTAAGGGGAACTCTGAAGTTACTGTGAAAAGATTATGTGCGGAGACGAAAGGACAGCGATACACCAATCTAAGACCCATACGAAATTTCTGGTTCAGTATTTGTTTCTGCGATTCTGGTAACAGAGGATAGAAGGGAAATAACCAAGCAAAGTGAGGAAATGTATATGCGAAGAAGCATTGACGAAGTACTTTAGATGACACAATTCTACCAGACAGTAACCACTTCAGCTTACCTAAGGATCTTTGAATATTCGCGATACATTTATCGACAGTAGGTTTCAAGGATAACTTATCCGTCCATGTGAACCCTAATTACTTGAATTCTCTAACTAACTCGATTTGTTCTCCGTTCATTGTTACATTTATTATAGGTCTTTTTACTTGTGTATGAAATAATTGTGCCACTGTTTTAGTCACATTTATTGGTTGCTTCCATTTCTTCGAGTATGCGTATATTTCATTACAGATTCGAGTACTTTCTTTCTCTATATATAGAATCATTTGAGCTAGTTCCTTCAGAATTGGTGGCTTAATTAAAACACTCAGATCGTCTGCGAAAAGATGACAAGAATGTGCTCCTAAACAGTTTATTAAATCGCAGTGAAAAACTATGAACAAGTATGGACTTAAACTACTACCTTGAGGAAGTCCTATACTTATATTGAATATTGTTGACGTTTTTTCACCAAATGCAACATAGGCTCTCCTATCTTTTAACCAGCTTTCGATTATTTTCAATAACTCGATCGGCATACCAAAACTCAATAATTTCACTAACAGAGCTGCATGCCAAACACGATCGTATGCCTTCTGATAGTCTACATAGATCGCGAGTGTAGGTATATTGGCTGCCATGTTGTTCCTAATCTCTTGATAGATTGATAGTACTCGAGTAGGAATTAGACACTTTGGCCGAAATCCTGATTGCTCTATAGGAACTAATTGATTACTTTCTGCCCATTCTCTAACTCTTAGAAGCAGAACTTTTTCGAAGAGTTTTGAATGTGTTGCTAACAGAGAGATTGGACGAGTTTGATCGCACTTGGGAGCACCTGATTTCAGTTTGTTTAAGGTCACGATCTTTGCTACTTTCCATTCATCAGGATATCTACATTCATTCAACCAAATATTAAAGCAATTGGTCAGACATTCTATATAGCTCGGAGGCAGTTTTTTAATCATAAAATTTGACACTTGGTCAAAACCACTTGATTTTTTGGGTTTTAATGTCTTTATTAATCTTCTAATTTCTTCAACACTAGTAGCTCTCACTGGATTGTTACTATTGGATAATTTAGTTAACAGTTCTTTACATTCCGACTCTACTTTAACGTCATGTGTATCAATAGGATCTACTAAAGGTGCTCGAAATTGATCACAATAATGTCGTCTTAGTTCTTCTGTTATTTCTTGATGTGTCGATAGTACTCTGTTATTTGTTACTAATTTATAGAACGGCAGTGATCTTGTTTTATATATACGAGATAGGTGTCTCCAATATGCTTTATCTTTGTTATCATGAGTTGACTGGATGTCTGACAAAAAACTTTGCCATCGATCTGCTTTATATTTACTTATCAAATTCTTTGATTCTTTAGTCATAACACGCAATAAAACTCTTGTTTCTTCGCATAATATTCCTTTTTGTCTAAGGTGGTAGTATTTGTTTCTTATTTTTCTTGTTTCTTTTAATTTCTCGATAATGTTACTTGATAAAGACGGTCTGTATTTTTCTCTTTCTTTCCAATGAGTTACTCTGTTCTTAACAGCCGCGATGAAGCGAATGTATTGTTTATACCATTCGTCTACGCTGTTATTATTTCTTTGTTCTTTCTCCCAAAATGACTGGAATAACGCTAAAACTGCTTCGAACGCCTTCCAATTTGTATGAGGAAACATACTATTAGTAGGAAAGGATACATTTTCACATGAAAGTAATGTCGGCCAATGATCACTAGTGCCTAAATTTAATGTTTCACACGAAATATCAATGCTATTTGAAAATGACAAATCTATATTACGTAGAGAGCGTTTTGATGTGTGGGAAGTTGATGGTATGTACTTAAGACTATTCTCATCAATCCATTCCTTCACGATCGCACCTCTTTTATCTGTAAACGGACTATTCCATTCCTTCACGGTAGCGTTAAAATCACCAGTCAGTATCGTTCCATCAACTATATAAGGGAGAATATCATCAAGGTCGCGTTGTTGACTATTAGGCCAATAAATACGTAATGGCTCTGATAGGCCTGTTATATCTATAATAGCTGTATTTGGTGTTTTGACATTAATACACGTAGCTTTCAAATGCTTTCCTACTGCTATACACACTCCTCCGTTTTTATTTGTGCCTTCTTGATAAAACGTGTTAAAATTTGGCACTTGACATGTACTCCATGTCTCTCCTACTTCCGTAAAAATACAAATAGAAGCTTGTACTTTGTATGCTATATCAATTGCTTCTAAAGCTCGTGTACCCCAGCCCTGAACATTATAAGACAAAATCTTCAAATTCTCACTTTGATCGTTGAAATTAGCGGAACCAATTTTCTCCCACTGATGTAAAACCGAATTCAATGTCTTATTTGTATACCACTCGTCTAGGAGAGAGGATACTAAATTATAATCATTTACTGAAAAATTCCATATTCTTAATTGGTGTAACGCTTGTACTTTCAGATTTAAGGTTTGTGATATCGAGGTGGGGGGAAAAAACTCTTTTGCATGAACATTCAAGCTAGACATACTATTTAGCAAGTTAAAGGTTCTCTGTTGTTGGCATTATAGCAGTTGGTTGAATAATGTTGTTGCTTAGTATTTGTGATGGTGCATGCGAAACTTTACGATTAAGATGGAAACCATCATTTAAACTCATAGCTGCATAGCAAAAACGATTATAGAATTGCTGTACGATTGGTATTAACGATGCTCTATCATTCTTGTTATAAGTGAGTGATGACGGTATAAATTTTTGAGTGAAGTCTTTCATGGTTTCGATAACATCGAGTAATACCGCTTGGTGTAATTGAGTATCAAGAGTAACTA